ATAAATTCTTAAACTCTCCGCTGAGTCCCTTTGACACTTATTTAGGTGACCCCATTTTAAACTCGATTTACTTCAACGCGGTCTCGTCATATGAAATTATAAATGAAATTCAACATATTCCTGAAAATAAATCATATGGTCTATATTCTTGCCCAGTTTTTATTTTAAAGCTTTCGAGGCATATTCTCGGTCCTATTTTAGCAAACATTATTAATCTCTCAATTGAGACCGGTATATTTCCATCAAAACTAAAAAAGGCAAAGATAGTGCCTATATTCAAGTCAGGTGATCAATGTGATCCTGACAACTACAGGCCTATTTCTCTTTTGTCAGTTTTTAACCGCATTTTTGAAAGGGTAATGTATTCTAGATTAATCTGTTTTATAGACAAACATAAAATACTTTCTCCTGCCCAGTATGGATTTAGGAAAAATCATTCCACACAGCACGCTATCATTGATATTGTGGACAAAATATGCAAGAATATGGAGTCCAAGAAATTTACCTGTGGTATATTTATTGATTTGAAAAAAGTATTCGACACAGTTGATCATTCTATTTTACTGACCAAATTGAATCATTATGGAATAAGCGGCCTAATTCATGATTGGTTCAACTCTTACTTGAGTGATCGATCTCAAACAACCTCAATCGGCAATTGCACTTCCGAAGTTTTTTGTTGTTCTTATGGAGTTCCTCAGGGGTCTGTTCTAGGACCACTATTGTTTCTCCTTTACATTAACGATATAACATCCTCTTCTGACAAATTTGAATTTTGTTTATTTGCTGATGATACTAGTATGCTTTACCCTCATTGTGATATTGATGCACTTGAGCGTATCGTGAATGACGAATTACGGAAGGTTTTATAATGGCTGGGAGCTAACAAATTAACACTAAATATTAGCAAATCAAACTGTGTTATTTTCCATCCATATCAGAAAAAAAATATTATAATCCTCAAATATTTGTCTATGATTCAAATTCCAAAACATTCTTACCATTGCAAATTAAATCCAATGTCAAATATCTTGGATTGTTTATAGACTCAAATCTAACATGGAAAGTTCATATTGACTATATCTCACTAAAGATTAGTAGAGCTGTTGGAATCATTGCTAGACTTAGACATTTCGTACCTAAACACACGTTGCAAATGATTTATTATGCTCTGCTTCATCCATATTTAAATTATGGCATATCAGTTTGGGGTCAAGCGTGTAAAACGCATCTCCACCACCTTCTCGTCCTCCAGAAACGGACTATTCGAATTATGAATTTTGCAAATTTTAGAGAACACGCTGTACCGCTTTTCAGTGCTTCCGGAATTAACTTTCTGTACTTTTACAATGTTGCTTGCAATATGCATGACATTATAAATGAAAGGGCGCCCATCAACATGTCATCATTTTTCACTACTATTAGTGAAAGTCACAACTATAATACAAGTTCTGCTGTTCGCGGTAATCTTTATCAAACTAAGTCAAGGTTGCATATTACACAAAAATCCTTTGCTAACGCTGGTGTTAAAGTTTGGAATGCTCTATCTATCTATCTCACTCCGTTCGTTAAATAAACATAGTTTTACAACACGTTGCAAGATCATTCTTATTAATACCATGATGGCTTGTGATGATTTCGTTGATTTCGCCAAAATATTGCAAACAGTTCCGGGGATTAAATATAATTAGACAATTTTGTTTTTGTTTTCAATATTTCCTACCGACTTGAATTACGATAATTTATGCTATTATCAATCAATTGAAAGCCACCTACCTCGAATAGCTTGCTAAATGTAGGTGGTTTCTTGTAAATTATTTTGGGAGAAAATATGTATTTAATAAAGTAGAAGTAAAGTAGAAGTAGAAGTAAAAATCCAATCAATTTTCTTAATATTTATATAACACCGTAATTTTGCATGGATATTGCCACCAACTTGTGTCGCCAATTTTTAGTCTGCAACCTTGGATAAAAAGCCCAAAGCGGCGATCGAGAAGAGTTTTTTTTAATATTAATAGTGCACATAACAGCTGACGATAGAATTGAAAAACATCTTCCCACTATTCCCAGTTTGCAGTCTAATTAATTGTGGTCGGAGCAATTGTAATAAAAACTAGAAAGCTTCATGAAACCACATAATACGAAGGATGTCTTGAAAGCCTTTAGGAATGAAAATGAACAGAGACTACAAAACCACCTTATCTCACAAGGTTCTTTCTTCTCAAGTATCATAAAAAACTCCACGTCATCATTCAATTTCTTATGGTCATCCTTTCAATCCAGACTTCCTAAGAATATATTTAATTTCACTGTCCGTTATATCAGGAACTCCCTCCTTACTCGAAAAAACCTGGTCAAATGGGGTCTGTCATCGTCTGCTGATTGTTCCTTTTGCTCCTCTCCTGAGTCACTTCTGCATGTCATCTCTGGTTGTAAAGCATATCTAGATGAAGGGCGATTTACGTGGCGGCATAATTCAGTTCTGAACTTCATTGCATCCAGCCTTATGAGTGCCGAGCGATCCAAACTCTACGTAGATTTGCCTGGCTTTATTACTCCGTCACTGACTCGTCCCCAGTCGTCTCTGTGTTTCAAGCGCGGGCGGAAGAAAAGGTAGCAAGGGTTAGCAAGGGCATGAAGGCGGTGAGCACACGCGCTAGGAGCGCTGGGAAGGGGGAATGGTGCGAGACGACTGGCATATCCTGTTTTCAAAATGGTGGAAGAAACAATGGCGGGAATTGCATTAAATTTCAACTCCGAAATGCGTCCATTCAATGACGCTTTTACAGACGGGAAATTGCCATGTCCGCACAGATCTTGTAGAAGTGAGACTGGAAAAGCATTTTTTCAAGATTTAGCCCAACATTATAGGATAAAACACCGAGAATTAGCGTTCAACAAGGAGAAGCACACTCAAGAAGCGCGTCGATTGTTTAACCTGTTTCACGGCAATGAAACGAAACAGTACTTGGCAAGGGTTTTCTCTAAACGCTCTCTTCAGGTAAATATTTTTGGATTCAACCTTATTATAATTGTCGGCGTGAGCGATCACACGGTTCGCTTAAGAAATGAATATTTTATGAGTTTATATTGAGTATTTGACAACGCCATTAAAATACAATTTTTTTTAACTTATTTTACTGTTTTACATTTAACTGTAGAGAGACAAGTAAATACGTTATACTGTCACAACAACGTACGAAGCTTGCCTTGTGTTTCAAGTGATGGCCAAAGATACAAAAGAAGCCGCAAAGCTAGCTAGAGTCGTTCTTATGCACTTTGGCCAACTAAAATCTTATGGCGAAGGAACAAAACCATCCATTGTGGAAGTATTATCACAAGATTTGCACGTCAAGTTCAACCTCTGGACATAAAAAAACATTGGTGAAAGGAATTTAACAATTATAATTGCAGAAGCTATTTTTGTTAGAAAGGTATTAAGTATAATTTATACACACTGACATTTATAACATTATTTTGGCAGATGATAAATATCCAGGATATCACTGTTTGTCTTGACTAGCCTTGTTATTTGCAGACATTTTCCAATAAAATTGTTTTCTTTAATTAAAAATGAGTTATGTTCTGTTATAGGACTTTGAAATTTCACTTACCATAATTATAATATCTGTAAAGGCCAATCAGAATAAAAAAGAAAACCGTTCCACAAGAACCACCGAAAACGAACACAGATCAACAACCCGTTTTAGATGGAAAAATTTATTAATTAAGCCCACACACTTTGATTTATCCCATTAAGCTTCAGACCTTCCTGACTGACAAGTAAAATCATCTGGTGTTAGGCAAGTAAGAAAAAATAAGTAGGGCGTACTGGGGCGCATTGCAGCTCAACGGGTTAACTAGAGACATTGTCAGATTTTTTGGTTAATTTAAGTCTCATTAAACCGCAAAGCTTCCCCATTCACAAGTAATATCGTCTGGCATTAGACAAGTAAAAAAAAAATATAAGTAGGGCGCACTGGGGCTCAATGGGTTGATTTATTGATTTTCTTTACATGAACATATTTTTTTATTTCTATATACCTGGGGAAGAGTCAGTTTCTATACTCTAGGTGCATTATTTTCAGGTAAAATGTGCTTATTGATGTACAATTTAAATTTGTTTTTTTGAATCTTTCACTGGATTTGACAGGGGATAATATAATGCCAATCAACCAGCGTGATATCAATATTGATGACATGACAGGCAAAAAATCTGTTGATATTCTAAGAAGAGTCTTTCATTATGACGTCTTTCGAGGAAAACAAGAGGAGGCAATTGATAGCATTTGTCAATGGCAAAATACATTGCTTATTATGCCAACTGGTGGTGGAAAATCACTATGTTATGCAGTTCCAGTCTTGATGGAACAGAAGCTTGTTGTTGTTGTTGTTTTTCCACTGCTAGCTCTACTGTTTGACCAATTTGAAAGGATGAAATCAAAAGGACTTAATGTTGGTTTCCTAATGAAAGACATGGATGAAATGGACAGACAGAGTGTCATACACAAGCTCCATTCCAACCTACCAGAATATAACTTGCTTTTCCTTACCCCTGAGACTGTGTTATCGCCATCAGTATTTGACTTGTTATCGAAACTTTCATCCGAGAATCTGATAAATTTCTTTGTCATCGACGAAGCTCATTGTATCGACACTTGGGGTTCTCATTTTAGACCTTGTTATGCTGAGCTATGAAATTTACTTTTGAATACTTGAAATCTCAAGCTCATTACAGAAAGTGTCTATTGGCAATTTTCTCCCATAGAAATTTATTAAATTGTTTTTTAAATTATATTTTGCCATATATGTTCATACAGTAAGTAAAAATACATGTATGTATTCTGCACTGTTCACAATTGTACATACTTTCAAATTTTTGCATGATTTTTTATAACGAGTACAGTCTGGCAATGTTTGTGCACCAGAAGGTTCCTAGAATGTTTTACACAAACTCTTAGAACAAGCTAAGAACAGGAAAATTGATGTTCTTTGTTTAAATGTTGGATAATTCCTTATCAGCTGACAAGATTAATATTAATCCAACTATCATATACTGGGTGCTACAAAGTTATATAATTTTATTTGTTCAAAATATGACTCTGTAATAGATTGTACACACTCTTGCAAATGGGCATAACATTATTTAGGATTATTTTAAACCATAGTAAAGGATACATGCCATTCACTCTGTTACGTCTTGTCCTAACCATGGGGAAAATACTCTTAATGGTGCGTGTAACTAAGATGCTTTCATCCTCATTAAGCCCAAGATAAGATAACACAACCGCTTTGTCCACTTCGCAATCTTCCTGTTGAACAAAGGCAGCATTGATCTTAGATTCTAACATAGATAGTCTGTAATTTACTTCTTTACCAGATGGTTTACCGCCTTAAAAAAGAGAAAAAATTATATTCACCGACAAAGAGATCATGAGTCTAGGGAATCAGTTGGATGTGCATATCCCCTTAAATAGCGAAGCACTCCAAAGAAAATCTCTTTAGACAGTAGCTTCCTCCCTGCATCTAAAAACACAGCCCCTTAAAAATATACAACCCCCCTTGCCAAGGAGTCCATTTCTGCCCATAATATGGTGTGTTAACTTAGAAATCAATTTTCATATTTGTGTGGATTTTGCTTTTCAGTGCTCCAGCATATTACCATAAATTAGATAAAACAGACAGTTGAAACAGTTGAGTAGGTAAACAGGCAGTTTACTTTTTCACAAAACATCTATTAAAACTTTTCCACTAGGCAGAATTTTGTAAGAGGAGCAGAATTTTTCTTTGTGAACTCAGGCAGTTAACTGATTGTAAAAAGCCAAAGAAAAATTCTGTTCCACATGCAAAATCCTGTCTAGTGGAAAACAGCCTTTATTATGCTCACATACCAACCAGAAACCGTTTAGCATTAGGTTGATTCAAACTCTTTGAGTTTGGTGTCAGGTTGTGTTTCGTTCCCCGTCTGCCATCACCACAATCTTTTTGTACATTTGAACACTGAGAAGTCTCATAACTTAAATCATCATATAATTTCCTGCAGACTTTCTTAGGCGTACTAGTTAGCAATCTTCCAGAGTGACATAAAGTAACAGAGTCATCGACTTCTTCATCTACGCAATTATTAAGCATTTGCATATTTTATTTTATTTTATTTTATATATGGACTGTATGCATATACTGTACTAGTGAGTATAGACTTTTTCAATGAGATTTTGGTTGGGCAAGACAAAAATTGAACACAACTTTAATACACAGTTGAATAAATTATTTGGTCAAAACAACATGTATTTGTTTCAAATGGTATTAAATAAATACAGGAATCACAGGTTGCACACTTTAATACGTGCAACAATTTAATAATATTTATACAAATAAAATCACATTAATACATTGAATAAAACAACAAATTACTTGAATATAATAAAAATGGCATAATCAGCAAACTTACCATCAATATGAAGTGACAGAATCGATGTATTTAAATCTTCCTCAGGCCTGAAAGCCATATTTTTGAGCAACTCAAACTCGCAGCTTTAATTTATGTAACCTTATATTTTTATTCACAAATTGAACAGAAACCACAAACTTGACATCAAACTTTAAATTTGGACACAAACAAACAAAAGACCCCGCAGAAAACAGCCTCTACCAGAGTTTCGACTGGAAAACCAGAGTTTCGACACAGGACTGCCAGTCGTCTCGTCTTTCTCCTCTCCAGCTGCGCCGCCTGTATCTTTTTCCTGCTTCCACCCGCCATTTTGCCTGCTTCCGCCCGCGCTCAAAAAACCTTGCGCATACCTTTTCTTCCGCCCGCTCTTGAAACACAGAGACGACTGGGGACGAGTCAGCTGTGGCAAGGTATTCGCACTAAAAGCGATTAGCCAATTACTGCGTAGGTGGTATTCTTTGTCAAACCGCAAGTGTTTTTCTCAAATTATCCGGTTCCGTTGGCGTCAAGTCGGCATTTCTTAAATAACAGACTTGAGAGAATTATAACTGACCTCTATACTTATCCAGTAATGGCGAAGCGAATCTTTTCTCGCGAAACAAATACGGCCTTTACTGCCCGCGATGTCAGATTACTGAAGACGGTGGAATCTGTCCTTTACACAATCAACAACAACAACAATTTATTTGTACCCCAAAGAAAATAACTATTACACTATTACAATTCACTTAGTATGAATATCAGATATAGGTACTGGCTACCCGTAATAACCGTAAAGGGGTAGATGTCGGGCAGCCAGATCATTATAGTGAAAGATGCACAATTTATTTTTTTGGATAGATTTGTATAATATAAACACATTAAGTCGAAATACGGAGACAGAGGACACACAGACAAAGAAACAAAGAAAACAACCGCTGCACATCATTTAGGAGATTTTGTTAATCATTACATAGAAAATCAACAATTTACGAAAATTGATCAAATTAGCCATAATTTATCAATAATCATTGATAAAATTAGCTTTTAAATTCTTTTTTGATGAGGAAAGAGATAGAGCTTTTTTTGTTTCATCAAGAGAGTTCCATACTTTTGCTCCTTGATATCTTATGTTGAAAATTCCATAATTTGTTCTTGTTTTGGGAATAGAGTAGGATGATTTGGATGCAAGTCTAGTATTGTAGTTATGTGTCTGGTTGACCGGAGTAAAGAGATTATTAAATGCAGTTAGCAAATTATTGTTATGAAATTTATGCATGAAAATTGTAATATGTAGATTAACAAGGTCAAAAAACTTTATTATTTTAAGGTCTTTAAACAGGGGGCTTGAGTGTGCATCAAATTTGGAAAAGGTCATTAAACGTATTGCCTTTTTTTTGCAATATTTGCAATGGTTTAAGCGTAGTTGGATAAGTATTACCCCAAGCAAGTATACCATAAAATAGGAAGGGATGTACTAATGCGTAATAGATATTGAGAAGAATACTTTTAATTTATTGACATAATATGGAAGTTTAGAGATAATCCCTATAGTTCGTTTAATCATTTTTACAATATAGTCAACCTGATTTTTCCAATTTAACTGTGAATCAATAAGGACACCAAGATATTTAATGCAGAAATGTCTTTTTAATTCCTTACCATTAATATTTAGTTTTATATCATTATTGATTTTCTTTTGAGGAGGATGAAATATAACAAAATTACTATCAACGTTTTTGTGCTCACTGCATGCAGTATGCTTTTGTTAACGACGTTTGCACCAGTAACACCCTTCAAAAACACAAATTAGTAAATTTAAAAGTATTTAAGTCACAGGGTTGCTTGGGCGAGATGACGCCACTTTGATCACAGTAACTTTGATGGTGTAAACCGGCCTTTACATAGTAAGTGTATGATTATTAGTCGGTGCGCATATGATGTAAGACGTCATTGGGTGAAGATCGAGTGTTTTGATGTACAAAATTCTTAATGAGCAGTCCGCTCCAAGTCTTAGAGAAAAATTTATAAAAATTAAAGATCTTAATAGAGAATATAATCTTCGTAGTAATGATACTGATCTAGCACTTCCAAAACCTAAAACAAACTATCTTAAACGAAGTTTTAAGCATAGTGGAATAGTCTTCCTTTGAGGCGAAAAAGGCATCGGCCTAAATTACTTTGAATTTGTACTCGAGTAAAAGTAGAAGTCATTAACAATAAAACAACTTGAATAAGTGTAAAAAGTACTGGAAGCAAAACGTACGTACTTAAGTAAAAGTACAAAGTATCCTTAAAAAATACTTGAAGTAAAAAGTAAAAGTAAATATACTATTGTCTTTTGCGTGTAAGGGGGGGG